GGACATCATCCAGAACCGCGGGAAAGTTGAATGAATGGAAATTCTACAACTAGAAGGAAAGAGGAAACCTCACAGAGAATCAGAGGAGCTGCAAAAGGCTGAGGTATGGAGACATGCACCCAGAGAGGAAGGGTGGCTGAGTGGTTGGCTGGCTTTCTCTGGCGGGAGGGGAAAGGAAGCCCTCGACTGCACTGAACCCCAGTTCTGACCCCACTACAGTCCAGGCCAGGAGCCTAGGGCTCCTCCTGGAGTCCTGGCCAGCTTTAAATTCGTCCATCTGTTCCCTTCATATGGCACCTTCACCCTTTCTCTCCTGAATGTTGCCCATATTATTTATCGAATGTGGAATGTTCATGGATTGAAGACAGAATTCTCCCGGGCCAAAGCAAAGCTTTCCTACAAGCTCCTCCCACCACCGAGCCCGGAAACACAGCAGCTGCTTCCATCCCCTGGGAGCCTGGGTGTAGGTTCCTACCGCATGCACATGTGCCCAGCGGGGACCGCCACTGGGTTGTGCCATTTCCGGGGAATTCCCACCCACACAGACCGGAAATCCAGCCGTCAGGGCAGATGCAGCCCAGGAGTTCTGGCAAAATCCCCGAATGCAGCCCAGGAAGTTTGAGTTCCCTTATGACTTGGTCATTAACAAGCATAAACCATCCCTGGAACCCGAAGCCCTCAACTGCTAAATTTTGAAAACAAGTTCAGTTTAACTGTAGTGCAAAACAACTCTTTGAAGGTGCTTACTGAGACTTCCTGGGCTGCACGCTTCAGGATTTCTGATGCAGTCCTGGGGTGTGTTCCTGGAGCAAAGAATCTGCCTTTCCCACAGATTCCCCAAGGAATGCCATTGCTCCCAAGTCACAGACCACTAGCAGCTCAAATGTCCATCAAGAGTAAGGTGACCAGACGTCCCACTTTAGAACAATTTGTCCCGCGTCCCTCGGCATTATAAAAAAGTCCCGCCGAATCTCCTGCTCACTGGAAACAAAAGGAACAGCTGACACAGCGCCCCTACTCACCTCTTTTCTGAGAAACCCCGGAGCCCTGCGGCCAGGGGCGCTGCCAGCCCGGCCGGCTGTGGTGGGCGCTGCCCTCTGCCTCCCGCCCTGCGGCTCCCGGGGCGGTTACTGCGCCTCCTGCCTCCTCCTCTCAAAGCCCAATGTTCAGTCCTCTTCTACAGGAGCCTTCATAACTCTGTTCATTTTGTGAATGGTATTCCTTATGGCTGCCAATTGTACTTACCTTTAAGTACTTTCTGAAGTTTAACCCTTTCAAATATATTCTTCAAACAAGATAAAGATTGCCACTACCTTTTTTAAAAATATATTTTATTGATTTTTCACAGAGAGGAAGAGAGAAGGATAGAGAGTTAGAAACATCGATGAGAGAGAATCATCGATCAGCTGCCTCTTGCACACCCTCTACCGAGGATGTGCCCACAACCAAGGTACATGCCCTTGGCCGGAATTGAACCGGGGACCTTTCAGTCCGCAGGCCAACGCTCTATCCACTGAGCCAAACCGGTTCCGGCTACCTTTTTTTTTTTGTTTTTTTTTTGTTTTTAAGGAAACATTGTATGCCACCTAAGTTCATTCATGTATCCTGATAAAACGTCTTAATCAGACTTATTTTTAATTAACGAATATTTCTTGGAAGTTTTGGGACAGACTTTATGTAATCTTTCTAAGTATGATTTCTGAAGAAAAAGCAAATGCATTAGTATGTTTGCCTTAAACTTGTAGACTAAACCAACTATTGTCAAATAAACGGTGATAACAGTGAAAAAAAATTAATTAAAAAGTCCCGCCGAGGGACGCGGGACAAATTGTTCAAAATCGGGATGCCTGGTCACCTTAATCAAGAGAGTCCCGATTTAAATATAATTCCGAATAAAGGAATACCATACAGCCCTAAAAATGGGAGTCTTGAGTACTCACATTTTTAGGGCTGCATGCTATTTTGTAAAAAGGGACAAAATGAGCAACCACGAGGTTAGGAGACAGAGGTAGAAGGCAATATTTCCTTGCCCTCTGTCACCATATGAAAGCGTTACATGTTACAAAATCAGCGTTGGCCGTTTACTCCTATTGACAGGCTGAGCCACACCTTCGCTCAAGACACGCCTCTAACGGACATTCCGGTGAAAGCCCCGACCCTGCACCATCTTAAAGTGCAGTGACCGGTGTCTCCCCAGGCGCTTCCCACAGGGAGACGGCGCACTGCCCTCCGCCGCGCCTCCTCGCCGCCGCCTCCCTCCCTCGCTCCCTCGGCGAGGCCCGGGGGTCGCAGGGCCTGTCGGAGGGCGGGCGGCGGGCTCCGGGGCGCCGGGCGCGGGTCTATATGGCGGCGGCGCTGTCGGCCTGGCTGTCCGCCTCTCGCGCTCGGCCGCCGCCCGCTCCTGTGGGGTCTTCTGCAAGGGACTGACCCGCACGCTGCTCATCTTCTTCGACCTGGCCTGGCGGCTGCGCATCCACTTCCCCTACCTCTACATCGTGGCCTCCATGATGCTCAACGTCCGCCTGCAGGTCCATATGGAGACCCACTGAGGACCTCCCGCCGGCTGGCATCGGCGGGCGTGTCGGCGGGCCCCGCCGCAGAGGCGCAGCATGAGGGACGGGACAGGGCCCCTGGGCACCTGCCTCGCCAACGTGCCGCGAGGGGACTCGGCCAAGCCACCGTGCAGCCTGCGAGCACGGGAGAGCCCGCGCCCACCGGGCGGCGTCCCTGGCCTGGGCGAAGGCGCCTGCAGGGGATGGTCACGGAAACGCACGGAAGAGACGGTGTCGCTGGAAACGAAGAGTGCCCAGCAGGAGGCCTGGCTTCCCGGCGGCAGCGAGGTGCTTGCATGTTTGACAGAATCATTGAGAAGAAATTCGGCTTCCGCGGTGGCTCCGGGCAAGACTGCGGACCTGTCCTTTGGGCCTGCGGAGGAGCGCCTCGCTGGGGTGCCCTGTGGTGTCGGGCAGCCCCGGGGAGGGACTGGCTGGAAGGGCCCCGGGCCACCAACAGCCACCGAGGTCGGTGCCGCAGAGGAGAGCCAGGACTGCCACGGGCTCGCAGTCAAGAACGGGTGTCTCTGCGGGGGCACCACGGGCCCTCCTGGAGGGGAGCGTCTCTGCGTGGGAGCCGCCTGGCTGGCACCCGGTCCTGTCCACGGCGCTGCATGTATGGTCCGAAGTGCTCCCGAGTGACAGCAGCGCGCTTCCGCGGCCCCTCGGAGCCCGCGCTGCCCGGGCACACAGCAGAGCGCGGGGAGGTGCTGCCCGGCGCCCCCCGGACCTCCGCGGACCTGCCGCTGGCCCCGGCCCCTGGGCCCTGCAGGCTTGTGAAGCAGCCACGCCGTGATGCCGCGGTGGAGGTCCAGGCTGCACAATAAAATAGGTTCCTTTACAGGCTGTCCTAGAACGATTTCCTCCCATTCTGCCTGGTGCATGCAGTGCAGCGCGAGGTCCCTGCCTGGTTTCTGTCCTGACAGACTCAGCGAGCGGGAATGGAACTCATGGGAAGCCGGTAACGTGGAAGGACATTATTGATCGTGTTTTAAATTTCCTCGAAAGCCGTTCAGGATCGGGAGACCATTTCGGTGAGAACAGGATCATAACCTGCATAGATGTCAGATTAGACCATAAAGATGTGACTTAAAGTTTCTTACAAACCATCACCTGTCCTGGTTCCTGTCCGGACGCTGTCTCCCCGGCCGGCTGACCATCTCCAGGATGCTGCGTTGATGGTGTGCTGTTAGCATTGCTGTGTTTTTGTAGAATCATTGTGGTCTGAGAAACACTTGATTCTTTTCTCGCCTTCCTTTCCTCCTGAAATGAAATTTTAGCAGAGGCCCTATGGTGAAAGCTGCAATATCAAGCTCACCTTTAGAATAAACCTTTCTCAAACCGGGACCCTGGTAGCGTGGCCTGAACTGGAAGCGAGCGTCAGACCACGCAGAGAGGCAGCTGGTGGGTCTCTGAGGCGGGTTGGCAGCTCCAGGAGGCCGGTGCCTCTCGGCGGAGGTTTTCCTGTGGCCACTCCTGCTTTGTTGTGTGTTGATAAGTTGGACAGAGGTCACTAAGGAGCGTGCATTTGTAAGGATGATGACAGCCATTTCCAGGTGACGGACTGCATAGACCAGTCTGTAATTGTGTGCTAGGTCACCACGCCATGTGCTCTCTTAGTGTTCTGGGGAAATGAGAAATAAAATCTGCTCTTTAGCTCAGAAAAATAAAATAAAGTGCAGTTTCCCCTCTCAGACCGGCTCTGGGACAAAATCCTTCCGCGTGGTGTTTTTATATCTGCAAATTGGGCTCAAAACCGGTACACTTCGCTGCTGCAGTCTGGGTCCAACGCTTCGGTATGTTGATCGTACGGAGGCTGCTAGTCACACACTCCATTCTAGCAGGACCGAAAGGGTCTGACAGTAATTTACAACTTAGGCAAGCAGGGAATAATGATGTGACCCAAAAACTCGCCCCACTCCCAAAGAGAAAAGCGCAGGTCACGAGGGCATGAGGCTCGAAGGGGAAGACAGTCTTACGCGTCGGTAATCGCGTTTGGGTTATCCTGTCCTCCTCATCCAAGATCAATTCAAAAAACAACAGGAGCCACACTGGAAATCGGACCCAGAGCATCCTGGTGGTTTGGCCCAAGGGGGCCTCCTAACGGGATTACAAACTACAGCCTCGGATATTGGCTGGAAAGTTGCCCCCCTCTCGGCGGGGCGGGGCCTCGGAAGGGGCGGGGCTTAGCTAGGAGCCGCTGTTTCTGGGCACACAATTGGGGGGTGGGTGTGGGTGGGGTCAGCATGGGCGGATAAAGATTGGAAGCCAGGGCGCTGGTTCCCACAAGCCAGACTGCCGGCCTGTGGGGCGGACGCCCAGGAGCTCCGAGGACTCTCCCTGCGACGCGCAGCTCTTCACCCGCCCACCCCGCCGCTTCACCTGTCTCGCCTGCCTCCGCCCCGCCTGCCTCTGCAGCCGCCGCTGAGTGACACTCCCCCGGCCAGGATGCTGGGCAGACGCCCCCTCAGCCCCAGCTCCTATGCCGCGCCCGGGTGGGAACCGCAGTCCGGGGAGCCCGGCCCCGCCAAGCGCCGCCGAATTGAGGAGCCCGCGGGCCCTGAAGACCGAATGGCGCGGGAGCCCACGTCGGCCCTGCAAGTGTGTGCGGGAGGACACACCCTCGTGCTGGTGCCCGAGGCGCTCTGGGGCTCAGGAGGGGGGGCGCACTCGCCTGTGGGCCTGGAACCCCGCGCTCTCCTGGGCGCTCTCTCGGGAGGCTCTGCCACCCAGCAGGGATTCTTCTGCGCATTTGCCCCAGAGATCGCCCACCCAGAGATCGCCCACCCAGAGGAGGCCGCCGACCCAGAGGTGTCCTACGACCCAGAGGTGCCCTATGACCCAGAGGTGCCCTATGACCCAGAGGAGGCCTACGACCCAGAGGTGCCCTATGACCCAGAGGAGGCCTACGACCCAGAGGTGCCCTATGACCCAGAGGAGGCCTACGACCCAGAGATGCCCTATGACCCAGAGGTGGCCTATGACCCAGAGGAGGCCTATGACCCAGAGGTGGCCTATGACCCAGAGGAGGCCTATGACCCAGAGGTGCCCTACGACCCAGAGGTGCCCTACGACCCAGAGGAGGCCTATGACCCAGAGGTGGCCTATGACCCAGAGGAGGCCTATGACCCAGAGGAGGCCTACGACCCAGAGGTGCCCTACGACCCAGAGGTGCCCTATGACCCAGAGGTGGCCTATGACCCAGAGGTGCCCTACGACCCAGAGGTGGCCTACGACCCAGAGGTGCCCTATGACCTAGAGGTGCCCTACGACCCAGAGGAGGCCTATGACCCAGAGGAGGCCTATGACCCAGAGGTGCCCTATGACCTAGAGGTGCCCTACGACCCAGAGGAGGCCTATGACCCAGAGGAGGCCTACGACCCAGAGGTGCCCTATGACCCAGAGGTGCCCTATGACCCAGAACAGGCCTATGACCCAGAACAGGCCTATGACGAGGACAGGGCCACCAGGTTCCTGACTTGTTGGATGTTCGCTGCACTCTGCTTAGTGGCTAGAACCCACCCGCCTCGAGCCCCCACGCCTAGTCCAGAGAGATGCCCACCTGGTTCCCACTACAACCTGGATTTCCACCTGTGGGAGCCCTTCCCCAGCTCACCGCTCCACCCTCTACCTCCATCGCCCAGTCCAGGTCCTCAGGTGCTTCCCCGGCGCACTCTGGGGCCTTCTCCCAAGGCCCGGAAACGACTGTTCTAGGAAGAAACTGCTACAATCCCGCCCCACGGGGCCCAGGACCAGGAGAAGGTATTCTGATAGCGGTTGTGTGTATATTGCACAACCTACAAGAATGGATCAAGACGGATACTCTCTTGATGCAGGCTGCTTTGCAGAGTTTTCTATCAATGGTAGACTAAAACATTTGGAAGAAAGATCACAAAGCAGCAAAGAAATGCTGCTTGAAATACAGGATACTTGACTTTGGGTGGTGAGCAATGCTATATACAGATGATGTATTAAACATAATTGTGCACTTGTAACTTATGTAATTTATCAATGTGATTTTTCTGATGTCCACACTTTATTTACCATAGAAAAACGCGTTCAGTTGCAGCATTAGTTCCTGGTAAAGACAGCGCGTATTCCACAATTCTAACAACTGATCAGCAATGCGAACTTTAATAAACAGTTCGCGATAATCAGTTCTCAACAATTATTTGTTATTATTAAAATTTAACATTATAGAATTAACAAAAATAATATAAAACTCATATCCTGGCTAAATAGCCACATGGCCGCAGAAAACAGTATATTCCCTCCCCATTCTCCCGCTGTTCCCTAGCTTGTCGTGCATTCTCTCCAAAAATCGGGACTTTTTTAAAACACCAAGGGACTCGGGACAAATTGTTAAAAATCGGGACTGTCCCGCCAAAAGCGGGACGCCTGGTCACCTTATTTTAGGGGGCAATGAAATAGCAGCTCTCCATTTTCAGAATTGTTCAAGGAGTCCCTAAGGATGCAGCCAAATAGCTCTGTGTCACCATAGGAGCCTCCCAGTCCTAAGGGATCCCATTACTCAGGAGAAGATTCAGCAATTAGGGAGCAATCAGGAAAGAGAGAAGGGCTGGCTACATGTGCCCCGCAAGGAAATGTAGGACTTTGGGGAATGAGTACTCCATAAGGACGGTGTAAATTGGTCCTTCAACTCACATCTCCCTTTAGGAGACCTTAGGTGAGTGCAGCTAGGAGGCCAAAACCCAGGACTCAAGTTTTAGCTGCTCTGTTGGTCTTATTCATTTAGGTTCTTCATAGGGAAAAACTGTCAGAATTGGAAAGCTCTTAGGTATTGATCCCCAAACTCACATTGTAGATGTGGACAAACTGAGGCCTAAGTATCCTGAAATAATTGTTAAAAGTCATACAGACAGGACTAAGATAGGAGTCAGGTATTCTGGTCCCATTATGTAACATTGTCTCGCTTCTGCAGTTATCGGTGTATTCCACTGAATTCTGAGCTGATGGCAAACCTGCCTTTGGCCTCTTCCCATTTTTATACCTGCCCACCCACTTTGAGCTCTCCTTTCTGGAGCCCGGGGAAATCCCTTCTCATCTTTGCTCTTACTGACTAAAGCACAAAGTAAAGTATTTGAGCAAGGTGTGTATTGGTTAGAAATGGGATTAGGAAAGGATGTGAGATTAGGCTGAAGAAATGATTAGGGCCAGATCATGGTGGGTCTTATAGGCCAGCCTGAAGAGTTTATAGTATATTTCAAGGGCATCAAAGATCTATTGAGCTGAAACTGGTTTGGCTCAGTGGATAGAGTGTTGGTCTGCGGACTGAAAGGTCCCAGGTTCGATTCTGGTCAAGGGCATTTACCTTGGTTGTGGGCACATCCCTGGTGGGGGGTGTACAAGAGGCAGCTGATCGATGTTTCTCTCTCATCGATGTTTCTCGCTCTCTGTCCCTCTCCCTTCCTCTCTGTATAAAATCAATAATATATATATATTTTAAAAATAGATCTATTGAAATGTATTATTTGTGGTTTAGTGGTATTTTGGAACTGACTTATGAGAGCAAATTGTGCTCATTTCTTTCCATCTCTGTATTCAGTGATATTACATTGGTAAGTTGAAATTGATCATGGTAGAAATATTTACACCAAAGAAATTGACAAAATACAATGAATTCAGAGCCTTTTATTTCCCCGAAAGCTGATCATTAAATATTTAACGGTATATCACTGGATGGTCAGATGAATGTTTTTGAAAGATTGGTAGCCAGTTTGGCTCCTAAGACTAGAAGGAAGAAGGCCAGTAGGGGTATTAAAAAGAATCCAATTAAGCCCAGCAGTTTGGCTCAGTGGACAGAGCATTGGCCTTCGGACTGAAGGGTCTCGGGTTCGATTCTGGCCAAGAGCATGTACCTTGGTTGCAGGCTCCCGGGCCCTGGTTGAGGTGCATCAGGGGGCAACCAATTAATGTGTCTCTTTCACATGGATGTTCCTCTCTGTCTCTCCCTCTTCCTTCCACTTTCTAAAAATAAATGGGAAAAAATATCCTCGGGTGAGGATTAACAAATAACAACAACAACAAAAAAGAATCCAAGTAAGTTTTTTAGGTATTGGCCAGGTATAGTGGGGGTGGGACAAAGGGGATGTTGGAGAAAATTAATGGAGTTTAGTGGTAACGAATTGGATGTGCAGCATTAGTTGCCTTGGTTAATTGGGCGGATGGTGGTACCATTTATTGAAATGGGAAACCCATGAAGGAAACAGGTTTGAAGTGAATGGTAATACATTTCTTTTTGGGCATGATAAGTTTGATCTGCCTCTGAGATAGAAAGTTGAAATATTAGTCAAGTAGAACACAAAGGCATGCTTATTGATTTGAAAATGAGAGAGAACTATTATCTCTATAACAAATCCCAAAATTCAATAAAATTGGAATTTACTTTGCTTAATGGTATAGGACTATAGAATTTCCTTCCATCGACATCTCTTTGTCCCATCATATAAGATCTAAAAAACCCCCTTCTAGCCCCAGGGGTTCAGTGCTCTGTAGTGAGTAATGTTTATTTTTACTAAATTTAGGGGTGGCCAGCTTTGTCCTTCCAGACAGTTTCACTTTTCAGAGTCACCTCTGTCTCTCCAACAAGGACCTCAGTTTACCTGGGTAGGTTTAAGTTGGCCTCTGCTGAGAAACTACTCGTGCAGTTCTATAATGTTTATTGGGGAGCCAAGGAGAAAAACAAATTTTAAGCAAGAAGCATAAAATAGAGCTAAGCCGAAACCGGTTTGGCTCAGTGGATAGAGAGTCGCTGCGAACTGAAGGGTTCCAGGTTTGATTCCGGTCAAGGGCATGTACCTTGGTTGAGAGCCCATCCCCAGTGGGGGGTGTGTAAGAGGCAGCTGATTGATGACTCTCTCTCATCGATGTTTCTGACTCCCTGTCCCTCTCTCTTCCTCTCTGTAAAAAAAATAAAAAATAAAAAATAAAAAATAAAAAAATTAAAATAAATAAATAAATAAATAAATAAATAAATAAATAAATTAGAGCTGAATACCACAGAGAAGATAATTGAAACTCTTGAATTATCTTTGAAGCAGATTATGCTGCATCAAAAAGGTTTCCTATCAGCTGGAGGCATTTGATGTTATATCTCTGCTTGTACCTCACATGGATTCAATCATTCTTAGATCTTGATATTAATCTTGTAATGGGCTGAGAGAAATCTCAAAAATCAAATTTCAAGTCTTCCAAATCACATTTTCCATAGGCTTTCCTTTTGGCTCTGAATCCTATTCAGATTATCTTATCTAATAAAAGAGTAATATACAATTTATCATACCTCTGCTACACCCACAAGCCACGCCCGTAAGCCATACCCATCATCCAATCAGAGCAAATTAACCCCAACCAAGATGGCTGCAGCCACAGAGAGCAGGAGGGAGGCTTGGGTTTCCCAGGCAATGGAAAAAGCCAAACTTTCTGCCTGCCCTTGCTGGCCTAAGCCTCCACTCAAGGCTACAAAGTTTTAATTATATAAGGTAAACAAATCCAAACAGAAATGACTGCCGGCCACGGAGCAAGCAAAAGGCTTGGCTCTGCTCCAGGCTATAAAGTTTCAATTGTAGAAGGTAAATAAATTCCAGATACCAGGGCCTCCACTTAGGTTGCTGGGGGTGTGGCTGGCCTGCAAACCACCACAGGACCCTCGCCCAGTCCCCACACCCCAAGAGAATCCCTAACCTGATCTGGGACACCCTTCAGGGCAAACCAGCTGACACTCACCTATGTACCAAGCCTTTATCCTATCTAATAAAAGAGTAATATGCAGATTGAATATCACTCCAATACACAAGATGGCTGCCCTCATGTGGTCAAAGATCCTTCCCACATGTGGAAGGCCTCTAACCACTCCCATGCAAGCCTGATTGATGTCTAACTGCTCCCCTGCCAGCCTGTTTGCCCCAACTTCCCTCCTCTGCCAGCCTGGTCAACCCTAACTACCCTCCCCTGCAGGGTTGATCACCCCCAACTGCCCTCCCTTGCAGGTCTGGTGCCTCCCAACTGCCCTCCCCTGATGGTCATCTTGTGGTGGCCATCTTGTGTTCACATGGGGACAGGATCTTTGACCACATAGGTGCAGCAATCTTGTGTGTTGGAGTGGTGGTGAATCTGCATATTACTCTTTGTCAGGAAGGATGTCCATAAGATGTCTGGCATAATTAGCATATTACCCTTTTATTACTATAGATAGATAGATAGATTACGCTTTTATTACTATAGCACTTGTCTTAGTGCTTCTAGTCTCTCATATACTACACTGGGACTTATGTTATCCATTCTTGCATCTACAGGACCTAGCATTAGGCCTGCCATACAGTAAGCATCAATGGACATTTGATGAATAATGAATGATGCCAACATCATGGCTAACTTTCTTTTTTTTCTGACAGGACAACAAATATTTTAAAGTAATCTTTATTTCTTAAAAAAAAAAAGGACAAGATATGCTGATTGTAAAAATTTTACAAACTAAAATATGACCAAAAATAAAAAATTACTTATTATCTTACTACCTAGAGATATTCAGTGTTAACATGTTAATATACAGTTGATCCTAGTCAACTGTATAACACATATGTGAACAGCATGGGTTCACTAATACATGGATTTTCCCAGTAAGTATAGTACATGGATTTTTCTTCCCTATGATTATTAAAATAACATTTTCTTTTCTATAGCTTACTTTATTA